ATGGTTGGGTGCGATAAGATCCTCCATGCACACAGCGCATCCACACCATCCTTATAGATGGAGGATGAACCCATTCAGACGACCTTGGTATATCAATCACAAAGCCATTTCCCAATGCTTACGCGTAAGTAGGTTTCTTTGCCATCTCCAAGTTGTCATAGGTTTCTGCTGGACGGGGATCACAGAAAGACCAACTAGTGTCACTCATTATGGTGTCGTAAGAGATGGATTCTGAGGAAAGGTCCGTGGATGCAAATGTGTAAAGAAATCGCGAATTGGCTGCTGTATTGTAGGTATAAAGAGAGGTGTAAAAACAAATCATGTTTTGGAGGCAGTTCGCAATCTTTAGGCTATCGAATATTTTTGACTATCTACTTGTTTTTTAAGAAAGTTGATTGTTGTTTTTTGTGATCCCCTAATCATTAGATGACAACTAGGCAATTAGGTGGTTATAGTAACATTGATATTTCACGTTTAAAAACTTTTATCAAACTTCTTGTTGAAAAGGCTAGGAGTAGTAAGACTGTGTCATGCTAGATGACACGAACTATTAACTACACATTCAGACATCTTGTGAGTTATCTGTAGCTTTAATAAAAAGTCTAAGGCCTTTTTGAATTTGCCTCTGCTACGGGTTCCATTTTTAAGTGAAGGGCGTCACCGAAGAATAAAAAAATGCGTGACGATACAATTCGCGACACCAGCTTACTAGGCGCATCAAGATGAAGATAATGCAGCAAACTGAGTAGAAATAAAGCGAATTAAGCACTGTGTTTATTAAAAAGTTGTACAAAATATAAGACACGTGCATAGCTAAAGTTGCCCTCAGTATACTAAATAATGCGCCTCGGTGAGCTTTAAGTTTGCAGGATCCTAAAACAACAATCAACTTTCTTAAAAAACAATTGGATATCCGAAAAATTAATTGATAGCCCAAAGATTGCGAACTGCCTCCAAAACATGATTTGTTTTTACACCTCTCTTTATACCTACAATACAGCAGCCAATTCGCGATTTCTTTACACACTTGCATCCACGGACCTTTCCTCAGAATCCATCTCTTACGACACCATAATGAGTGACACTAGTTGGTCTTTCTGTGATCCCCGTCCAGCAGAAACCTATGACAACTTGGAGATGGCAAAGAAACCTACTTACGCGTAAGCATTGGGAAATGGCTTTGTGATTGATATACCAAGGTCGTCTGAATGGGTTCATCCTCCATCTATAAGGATGGTGTGGATGCGCTGTGTGCATGGAGGATCTTATCGCACCCAACCATCTGAAAAAACATATTTCAGACAAAGTTCAGCAAAGCGAGTAGTCTGTGCTTACTTGCTTGTTTACCTTCTTGATAGAACGAAAAGCGGACCACGATGCGTGACATCTGGTGTACCACCGTGGCGTACGCGCACCTGTTTCTTTAATTCTACCAAGCAGGTGTAGGTGGAATTGTCCTTGGCAGCGGAACTTCTTTGACGACGATGTCTACCAATCTTGCTGGGTCCCCCAGGCTGCGAGCTTCTTATCAGCTGTTTTATAGCTGATTACATTTACTGATACCTTTGTCGTGATTGACAATATTCTTGTCGTTCTGCGACCCTCCACGCTCGTGCTGGTATGTATCGCCCGATTATAATTTTTTCTGTTACATCAGTTTCTGTACAATCTTATGCTCATCCAGTATTTTTCATTTAAGCAGAGTACTACGCATACCATTTTTCGATTAGCCGTTCCTCGCTTACAGGAAATTCACTAGTTATTTAGTCAAGTTACTTGTTTTTGAAATTTTCCTTATAGTGTCCTAAGCGATGAAGCCGGAGTGGGATAACTCGAAAGCAAACAACGTCGCGCCCTGGGCACCGGTACATGATGCATTTTATTTTTGATATGGATTTATCTGCAAGAAAAAAGAGGACAGAAGCTGTCATTCTTTTCGCCCTCTCGCAGGTAAAGCACAGTAATCAACGACGATTCTCGCTTACCCTTAAAACACCATATATTTTTCAGCATTAGATTACTTTATTTACGTTGTATGCAGCCTACAGCAAGGTCATATTGCTGGGCCATTGACTCAGGTCATTCAGTACGTGGTCTCGAGACTTTTACTATCTGCATTAGCCCTCTTTGTAGACGATGTTTCGTCCTTTTCTCCGTCTACTCGATAGGGCGTTTAAGGAGAAGCCCTCTACGAGCAATGTGGGAGCGCTGATCCTGACAAAACAGGGAAGCTTCAAAACGTTGGAGCAGAGATACCGAGGTTGTAAAGCTCTCTGCTTTTGTTGCTTTTTGCAGGGGAGCACGAGAACTCGCTGCACTCTGGCTCGTCCTCCACAAATTTTGCGGGCATAAAATAAAAGATCCTGTGATTGACCATCACTATTATTTTGCTAATTTTATATTTGCAAGCATGATAAATCAATTACTAGAAATTAGGATACCGTAGAACTGTCTATGTGATTAATGCACTATCTTCCTTAACCGGATACGTGTTGCTTCTCGAGAAGTAGAAGCATCATTTAATAATGTTAAAAAATTGGACACTGCAATAGTTTGTCACCCTGATTACTTCATTGTAGCATCAAAGAAACACTCAGCGTTCGATCTTATCCGAGCAGCCTTGCCCAGCATTTTTTTTATCCTAGACTCTCGCTGTTTAGCACTCAGCACCATAATACCTGTAGCAGCGAGAAAACAGTGCCCAAATTAAACGCTTTTGCCTTCTTAGGTTTCTATGGAAACGATCAAGATGAATCGTACACATCCACGATGCATCATTATCGATTTAATTAGTAACGCTAATGGCGACAAAGGCAGGTTTATGCGAACAGGTCTAGAAAATACAGAAATTGACGAGTGAGATTCACACCAAAAGCACTTCGTGAATCACTGCATCACTTAGGCTTAACAATCATTAGCCCGAGATATAAGCGAGTCCGAGCTGTTAAAAGCTATTTAGATACAAATTATTGAAAAGATCAGCGAGATAACAACCATAGTTAACGAAGAACACTAAAAATCGCGAGGGGTGTTGTCGATGACTTGCAAGAAATATTGCGCGCAGACCAAAATACTGAACGATTTATACATAAAATGTAGATAAATAATTTGATCTTGTTAAGGTGCTCAAACGAATTTTGCAAGCGCACCTTTATCGGGCGCAGCAAGGCGTCTCGAATCGATGAACAAAAATAAAATTAGTTTAAATGTGTATTGCGATTTTTGCACTGCAATCATTACAAATTTAAGAATTTTGATTTCTGACCACATGCTAAGCTCGTGACGAGGAGGTCTTTTCTATCGGAATGCAAAAAGGACGAGGGGAGGAGCAAGCAAAAGAGATCGCAGCTCTTGTATTCGAGCAAAAAGGGCAAACTGCGTGATATTCGTGCTCGCGCCTTTTCTAGGAGAAATTTTTGCTCGCTTGTATTTACCCTACCCCGTGCTAGTTAAGGAATTTCCGGTAGTCACGTAGTTAGCGTCTGATCGGCTCATCGTTTGTAGTATGTTGTTCTTCATGATCGGCATCTACTGCCCTCTTTTTGTCTCGCCCGGTATTCGTCCTTGTATGTGGCTATGTCAAGAAGGGTTCAAGAGGGTAGATGGTGAGAGGTATCGCCTAAATGGGGTGGCTTATAAAGGGGTCCGGCTGGCTAACCCTATCCGCTGTACTTATGTATGTTTTATGGGCATTATTAGTAATTGAATGGACTGACAACTACAGGCTTAGGTGTGGGCATATCTATCATGTGCCTTTGTCACTACTGCGTAATTTGTAAGAAGCCAGCTAGCAAAGCTGTAATTTAGTACATTCAAGCTCATCCTTTTGGGGATTCTCATGGATTGATGTGGTCAATTTTTCAGATCCATGTCTATCTTTTTGGAATTATTGAAGACTTGTTTTAAATTATTGTTATGTGCCCGCATTCAAGCGATTACTCAGGATGTCTATTTCTGATGTTTTCTCCTATCTTTAACCTCTTTGATTTGTAAACTGGATTAATCAGGACCGTAATAAGCTAAAAACTCGCCGTACGCAAATCTCGTTACTCTCAGTTTAAAGGATTATATCAACTAAAAAACCAGTATTATTCAAACCATTCGGGCAGGATACATATAAAGATTATGCAGGTTCCTAATGGGTGGATTTAGAGCGAATTAGAGGGTGTTTATACTCGCACATCCCACTTTATTAATTTTAATAGCAAAAGATGGCCTTCCTCCGATGTGAAGCCGCCAAGATAAGAATTTTTCTAATATGAGTTGGCTTTTTGCGCGTGTTAGAGTGCCTCTTAGGCTCGGAGGAGATGAGCATCCTCCTGATCAATGTTAAAGATGTCTGTCGACCACGATACAGTGCAAGATGAAGCTGCTGAAGTGGTCAAGACCTATTCAAATATTAGTACGCAAAGAGATGTCTATAGCTGCATTACATAAATACACTTACGATACATGTAACGGGGCACCCTTTGCTTGGGTGCCACTAAACTTCACGTACACTGGTACATGCAGAGGAAGCTAATCTACTTAATAACTGTGCTGAGTAAAGGGTAAGAAGAGATTTGTATTTATTATAGTTAAGATATCAATATAACTTTAATCTTTATCTAACTAAATTAAACTACGCCGTCATATGACGAATACCTGCTCACCACTCATTGCGCGCGTCTAGCTGCGATTAGTGGCAATCTATGGTTGATATGTCTTTTATCAACCAATCTTGGAGCAGCGCATGAATGTAATCCAAAAGGGGACAATTTTCCTTCAATGTAATTTATCTCGGATAGTATCGGTAGAATATTGTCATACTAGACAATATCTATATTGACACCGTTTGGTGTCAATTTCATGTAACGAGCTACCCCGTTACATCTACCCCCCTAAACATCAGTCACCCGTCGATTATATTAGAATTGATTGGGACAGGGTGACCACCGTTGGATCACCCTGGGAAAGGGAGCACTTGTTGGTCAAAATCCATTTATTTGCCAATCCAACGCATGGTTTCCAATACCACGCGACCTGCTACTGCATCAGCAAGAAGGGCGGCTGCACGCATGCGTGAGGCCGCGGAAAGTGCCTCTCACGCCTCAGCAGCAGGCGATTTGTCGCTTGTTGTCGTGAATCTTCCACGTGGTGAGTCACCACGAGCGACAGGTACATCCGTTGCGTCTGCAGCGGGTACCTCGAATCGTAATCAAGACGAGTCTGAGATAGAGCTCATCTATTCCGGCGAATTGGATGATGCATACGACTCAAAGGCGAATCCTCACGCCTCGGGATCACCCGAGGCGGACGCTGCAAAGCCAGGCTGACTGGCTCTGGTCAGTGCGGCGGTATCATGTCCGAGATCCTCGGATTGAGTGATTACTCCGAAAAATCTCCGCCTCACTCAAGTCCATCCAACGATAGGACGCACGAGGATGGTGGTGATGCACCTGCACATCACCACGAGCGAAGAAATTCAAGGGATCGGGGTAACATTGGTGTCAGTGCTCATGCTGGCACTAATCAAGAGGCCAGGGACCGAAACGTCCTGCGACACGCTTCTCAAGTGGAGTCTCCGTGGATGCCGCCATCCAGAGAGTTGGAACGGTTGGCCGGCACGACTACCGAACGGGATCGGATCCCGTTGTTCGATTGCAGGAAGATTTTCCCTCCTGATTCCAGCACGGAAAAGTCTCCATGCTGAGGAAGAGTTCTTCACCGATGTGCTCTATAAACATCGGTGGTACAATGGCAGCCGTATTCGAGACGGCGAAGCCTTGGTGCAAGGACGTGCCCTCATCCACAACATCGAGTGCATTGGCCGTGAGGCCTCGCCAAACTTGATGCATCTCGCATCAGGTTTGAGAAACGCAACCCAGTTGGGGAGCGATATAAGTTGCACCGGCTTTCAAGAGAGGCAGGATTACCCTGTCTCTCGTGAGGTGATTTGTGTCCAGGTTGCCTGGAAAATTTGAACCGAGCCCCTAAAGAGGCCTATCCTTCAAACGTTTCCTACTGGAGGTCGCGCATCTCTTCTGAGATGGCCGAAGGGATCGACACTTTGCAATCCCTGTACTCGCGTTCGGAGAGGTCGTTTTCCGACGGCTCTTCTTCAAACGCAGCGGGTGGGTCTCGTCGTACTGCTCGACGAGACCAATGACATCAACAATCAGCTGGGAACGAGGCTCCTAGCTGTCCAACGCTGGTGAATAGCTACGCCAGAGGACGAGGTAACTAGTCCGGACGCCATTCATATCGCGGTGGTTCAAAATACGCTCCACTAGGAAGCGTTGACCACGGCAAGAATCCACCAAAGGATGTGGTGGCGGCAAAAACACCTGACCCGTCTAGAGGGTCGAATCAGCTCAATGTTCAGGAGCTGAACCGTGCAACGGAACAGTTGCAAGATGATTTGGCTCATAAACGGACTCGGCGTTATGAGCTTAAGGATCTTGTAAAAGACAATTGAAATTTCACAACACACGATCGTTTGGACGATCGTGCCACTTTTGCGTTTGCACAACTTGAGAACGAACGTTCGACTCGTTCCCTTCGTGACGACAAGGCTGCAGCTCATCTAGACATCGCTCAATCGCGTGAGCAGGTCGCTCCGCTAGACGACCAGACTGGCTCATTGAAACGGGACCCTTCGAGGGTGGCCTTGGCTCTTGACCGCGGAGGTTCTCTTCGCATCCCGAAACGGACTAGTACGGATAGTAAGGGTGGAGACGACCAACGTAAAACGTAGGATGCGTGCGCATCTTACGGGGCAGTTCAATCGTGCATGCGTTGCCCATTCGGCGCAAGACACGAAATGGACCGATGTACCTGGGTAGTAATTTACTGCTGCCTTCGTTTGTCACTGCGTGTTTCGGTAGGTTTACTGTAAAAAGTAAAACTAGGTATTCTTTATGAAAGAACATGTGCTCTTCCATGTTTGTCTGCGTTATGTTTCTGTTATCTCTTGCATCTACAATAGAGTCTTGGACGAAGCGGACATCCGCTTCGCGAGTCAGCAGAAATTCATCCGCTGATTCATCCTTATCAACAGCAGTGCGCTTCGTGTGCACTGCTTAAAGAACGTTGTCTTCACCAGTGAGGGTATCATCGTCCTCACTTTGGCGCTCATTGGCGATGCTAAATATGCCAGCATCATCGTCATCATCGACATCGATCATATCGACATCGGCATCCATCACGTCGACACCATTGTCGACGGGCGATGAGCAAGAACCAGATCGGTTTTGTTCGAGCAAGCCCCCCCTTAAGCTAGAGTCACACTCTAAGGAAGCGGGTAAATGTGGATGGCGTAGGCCATCTGCGAAGATCGGTGTATGCGTTGTAGACGCAAGCACCGAGTTGTTGATGGCGGATTCCGCCGTCGGAAAGAACCCACTCTACTTGTAAACGAGTGAACCTACCCTCGAAGTATCTCTTTGAGGACGCGGTTGACGCGTTCCGTCTGACGATCTGTTTCGGGTTGGTCAGAAGTTGACATAGTCAAACGTGTTCCAAGTGAACGGAACACGGATTGCCGGAACTCCGCCTTAAAGCGGGGGTCCCCATCGTACACGAGTTCACGGGGTAACCCCTGAAGTCGGAAGATAGTATCGATAAAGACACGAGCACAGCCCTGGGATGTGATTGACTCCGGTACTGCAACAAGATGTACCATCTTGCTGAAGCGATCAACAAACACAAGAATATCAGTATTCTTATGAACGACTTTGGGAAGCCAAAGACGAAGTCCATCGATACGGTCTGCCAGCACTCAGCCGGAATCGGCATAGGCTGCAAGGGTGCGCTAGATGAAGGACTAGGCTTCACCCGTTGACAAACTTTGCAAGCGCGAATGTATTTGCGCACAATTCATACTGGCGGGGCCAGTAGAAGTCGCGACTTACTGTGAGGTAAGTCTTTCCTTTAACGCGATGGCCACTTGTTCGGGCATCGTGACACTCTTACATGATGTGCAATCGCAAATCATTATGAGCGGGAACGACAACACGAGGCGTGTCGCCGCTGACTTCTGTATAGTACAGCAAACCATCACGGACAGAATACCGTTCGGTTGAAAAGCGGTATTGAGACGACAAGCTATTCAAAGCTTGATAACACGGATTGGATACGTAATCCATCAACCGCAGAAGAGACTCATCTTCTGTGTATGCTTTTCGCACGTCATCGAGCAGATTCGACGACGGAACACTCACCGTTAGTGTTGCGACAGTAAGATCACCTTTACTGTTGGGTCGAGCAGACGGCTTGAAATCGGGCCGACGCGAAAGAGCATCAGCAACGACATTAAGTCGTCCTAGTTTATACTCGACGGAGAAGTTGTACTTAAAGACAGCCACCTCTCCATTCTTTGCGAGATGTGTGGACTGTATATGGACGTGCGCAACAACGCATGGTCGGTATAAATTATGAAGGGCCTTTATCCTAAAAGATAGACCCGAAACTTAGCCAGTGCATATTTCATGGCAAGACGTTCTTTGTCTGCACAGGGTAATTACGCTTAGCTGCTTGCAGATGACGCAATTGATAACAGACGACGCGCTCAGCGCCGTCTGAGTCGTTCAGCATTAACGCGCAGCCGATTGCAAATTGGCTAGCGTCACAGACCAAATCAAAAGGTCTGCAATCGCCAGCACAGGCGATTGTATCAAGCTTTTATTGATGCCTACAAAAGAGTCCTATCACTCAGCACCTCATCAACACCTCTCGTGTTTCTTTAGCAGACGAGAGATATGTACGGTCATCTCGGCGTAGTTTTTTTTACTACGGCACGGGTACTTGTGCAAGTACATCGCCAATCCAAGGAACTTTTAAAGTCCCTTGACGTCGACTGGCATGGGCCAGTTGCTAATCGTCTTGATCTTTTCCGGATCAGGGCGAACGCAATTTTTTACCCACGATTCAGCCAAGAAGTGGTATTTCGTTCGCTGCGAATGTACACTTCTTGAGTTTCGCGAACAACTTATGCTCTCGCATTAGTGTAAGGACCTTCCGGACGTGGATTCTATGAACTTCCACGTCCGTCTTTCCACGCATCGCGCGTCGATGTACGAACACATCATTAAATTGATCAGGCGCAAAATCTTGGACCGTTCTCAACAGATTTGTAAAACATCTGTTGAACGTTGCAGGAGCGTTACTTATCCCCTAATCATCAATAGAAACTCCCAAAGCATGCCACTGGGGGTGCTCAGCTGCTAGGTACGGAACGTCCCGTTCACGCATGAGTATCTGATAGAATCCATCCATCAAATCCATGGATGAAAAGATGATTTTTTTTCCATACCATCAATAATGATGTCCTTCCTCGGTATCGGCGTCTGAACCGGTACCGTTGCAGCCTTCAATTTGTTGAATACGTGTACTTTCCGACACCCTCCTGTGGCCTTTTGCACACAGGAGGTCAAAGAGCTGTGTGGGGATTTCAATTTGCTCACACGACCCTCTGCTAAGCGATCGACACAGAACTTGTCGATCGCTGTGACCTGTTCACGAGGCAGTGGCCACTGCTTCATTACACAATACTTCGAAACAGGTTACAGTTCGATCTCAAGTCGAGTGCCTTTGTCCTTAGGCAGCTCGCATGGTAGGGATTCCGGAAGAGCATCCCTAAATTCAACCAAATTCTTGAACAAAGGATTTGTCTTCGAAGACTCCCAATATTGAGACGTGTATCGCACAATCCGAATCTTCTCACCGAGGACACTCTCGTCCATCGATGATCTACTGAGAATCCGTTTGTTCTCAGCTAACACTTGTGCCAACCGAATTTTGGTACGTCCTCGACCTCTGTGACGAGTACGCAGATCTGCTTGATCTTGTCACTACGCAGATCACGCAAGAATCTTTTAGATTCTAGCATTGACAAATTGATTACCTCCGAAGCTGGCTTCGGGGGCGTCACCAGATCAAGTGTACAAGCGTCTACACTTAATCCTTCATTCACTAAGACATTCGCTGTCTCGGTGATTTCCTGGGAAGACACATCCACAGGTGGTTGGGAATCCACACCCTCAACACAACTCTCTCGGGAGTCATTGCTCTCAGGAACGCCGTAATTTTCTTTCGTTACGTGTACTATTCCGGTCGCGTCCTCTTCGATAGGCTCTCTTTCAGTCGAGCGGACTTGCTCTCTGATAGTCGACTCTCTGATAGTCGACCTCACTTCAACGTGTTGTCCATCCTGAACAACACTAATCTCTATTCTCGGATGCACTCTTCTTGGTGTGCATCCGTGTTACAGTCCACTCGGTCTCTTCGATTGGTGAGCCTTCGGCGCAGCCTGTGTATCTACACAGATGCCGGAAGC